TGGAATTTTTAATTAACGTAATTATTGATAACCAGGAAACTCAGAGTGAGAATATTTTATTGAATTACAATAAAAAAAAGGATTAAACAAGTAAAGAGAAGAAATATTTTACTAAAAAGTGATTTAAAAAAGAAAAGGCGGTCCGTACCAAAAGTGAGCAATTACCTGAATATAATAAAAAAACTATCCAGAGGATGTATTTCAATCAAATTTTCGGATGGCGCGATCAACTTTTATGGTAGGCTTAACTTTTAGTTGTTGAATTTGATATGTATGTAATGTGCTACTTTGTGTTTTAGATATTGCGAAACTCTATCCAACTATATTGGACCAGATCATTGCGCGGCCGGTTGGGCCATTCCCTTGAAATGTGCCTTTATGTAGCCCTGTGGAAATTGGGTAACAGCAACGTCACGTTTCGCGAGCTTAGTGATCGGTTTGGTGTTGCGGAGGGAACCACGCATAAAATATTTTTTAATGTTATTAAAATGGTTTCTTCATTAAAAAATGAAATAATACGGCCTTCTGCTGTTAAACAAGGGCAAGTAATGGAACAATTCGAAAGGAGCCGATGCAATCCTTTTAAATTTGTTGTGGGATGTGTAGATGGGACGCATTTCAACATCTCGCTTCCAAAAAATGATGCGATTRGTTACTRCAACCGAAAAGGAAATCATAYAATTATTTTGSAGGTTTGTGTATTTAAGCTTCAGTTTTATCAACACAAAATTTCTACTAACTCTTATGTTTAGGCCATATGTGACAGTAAATTTCGCTTTCTGGATGTATTTATTGGATGTCCAGACAGTTGTCATGATGCTGGTATATGGAAAACTAGCTCTATTTATAAAGGTGAAGTGGAACTTGCTGAAAATGCAGTCATTTTAGGAGATTCTGCCTATCCTTTATCAAAATTCCTGGATACACCTTACAGAGATAATGGGCATTTAAGATCGGAAGAAAGAAACTTTAATTACTGCTTAAGCTCAACTCGTGTTTTTATCGAGCAGTCGTATAGGATTTTGAAACAAAAGTTTAAAATACTAAATTATATAAACTTGAGGTCAGTCAAAAAATCATCAATGGTAATATTTGCCTGTACAATATTGCACAACTTTATTATAAATAGAGGAAATAATAACGTCATAAATGAAGAAATAGAAAATCGCCTTAGTACTTCACTGGCACCTCAAGAAAATGACGATTTAGATTGAATTGCTATAAGGCGCAATTTGACAACGGATACTTATGAGTGGAATCCATTGTGTTTTATTTGTGTACTAATTAACTTAAAATTATTCGTAAGTAAAAATAAAAAAAAAACTCTAATTACTCTGTTTTACAGCCATATTCATATTTAAGACTAAATACTATCATCTTATCTGTCTGAAAACTTTTGAAGCATGTCTCTAAGGCTAGCCATGGTTTGTATTCTCTCGCTCTCAATTTGCATATTTTCCCGGTTCAAGCTCTATAATCTGATCGTGCCTTTCCTTTTAATTTTTAGCTTCTTCCTTAAGGAATTCCATAGACTCATTGGCACTGGTTGTCCTACGCCTTCTGCCGAGATTGATGCTATTTCCCTTTTTAATTCTCTTCGCAAATTTACAAATTTACGAGAAATCTGATCCCGTGATAAATTCAATTCTGGAACTTTTTCTTTAATTTTTTCAAGAATTCTCCCTCACAGGAATAATTTTTTTTCCTTCCTCCCTGGAACTCCGACTCCATGTCCAGCCTTGTTCGTATTAAAATTTTCATATAATTTGCTGGAAATTCGTGGGATCTAAATGTAAATAAGGCTTATTATTATTACATAATCACATTAATAATTAAAGACATCTACGCAGTTTCAAAAAAATTACTGCAATGGCTGCGACAATTTGCCGAAGTGCTGCCAACTGCGTACATTAAAAAACTTTTGACGAAGAGCAGTATTGCCGCAGGTTTTTTTGACGAACGCGTTGCCCCTGCATATATGCAACCAAGTTACTGCGTTTACGAATTAACCCATCAGTACACCACAAACAACATACCATGGCTACATTTCTTGATATAGAGGGAGCACTATCAATAATTTTCTGACACTTAGCGGCATAAACGACGTAGTGTGTAGATGGATACAATCGATGCTTAGGAACAGGAAGATTATAGAATCAAACGGTGCTGCAACACAACAAGTTATGTGAGTAGAGGGACTCCTCAAGGAGGGGTCTTCTCCCCGCTTCTATGGGTTGTAGCGCTGAACGAACTACAACTCCAACCAAACGAAAGCAGTAACATTTGCAGACGATATAGTGTTTTTGGTATTAGACATGTTTCCTTCAACAGTCAGTGAGATTATGGAATGATCGCAGGTTAAATCTATGGTCAAAGAACAATGGACTAGGTGTTAACCGTAGAAACAGAAGTGATGCTATTCACAAGCAGAACCAAAATCCAACCGTTCCAACTTCCCGTACTAAACGGTATAACAATCAGGGGTGTTGTGGAGTCTGAAAGTTGTCAAAATCATAAGTGAAACCGATAAAAAAAAAGTAGTAGGTGTAATAAATTCAGATATTATAGGTTTGATATTCGAAACAGAATTTGTATCGGTTTCGGGAATCCAATTTTATTGAATCAGGGATGTTGTGGAATCCGGACAGCTTAGCTGACAGAATTGCAAACCAATTCTGATTATAAATGGTGTCACAGAATCTGATTGTATTTTCATCTTTTCGCACATACGCAAAACCAATATTCGAACCAGCTGTTTACTAATGTAACAAAACTTGCAAATGCATACATTTGGAAGCAATCCTATTATATTAAAGTTTTTAATAAGGTCCGAATTAAAGGAAGATTTTAAGAGAACATTTATCGAATGAATAAATCTTCTTTAAGGGAGGCCTGCTTTAGAAGCTTTAAAGTATTGAATTCTTCTTTGCTTAAATCCCTTTGAAAATTATCTAAGAATCAAAGTTATAGATGGGAACTCGAAATATTGTCGAAGCTAGAAGGGAAATAGTGACCGAGCGTCTAGCAGATACATATATGTATATGTATATGAGCACTTGGGCAGAAAGCGAAAACTTTGATGAGCGATTTCTCGGTTTTTCAGATTTAAGATTTTTCTTAATTGGCGGGCAGCATAAATTAAATTTGAGCATATGTATACAGTAACATTTTTTTACACAAAAACCACTATTCTTCATATTTTAAAAAATTTTGGGATTTTACACTTTTTTTTATATTTTCCCAGTTTAACTTTAACATAAATTATTAAAAAATATGAATCTCTTTGAATTTTTTATTTTCGACAGAAATCGCGACCTGCATCCTGCCCGCCGTCTGGCATATGCACATGCGATAAGCATCTGGATATTGCTTTTCAAAGGCAATTTTAAAAGATTCCGTATCAAAAATATTTGCGGATGATCTTTAAATATATAACTATAAATCCTAGAAATTTCGATTTTTTTAAGCCTCTAAAAAAAAGCTCCCCTCCAAAAATATTCATTTGCAAGTTTTGTCCAATTAGTAAACAGCTGATTCGAATATTGGTTTTGCGTATGTTTGAAAAAACGAAAATCCAAACAGATTCTGTGACATCATTAAAAATCAGAATTGGTTTGCAATTCTAACATTTCTATCTTGGATTCCACAACACCCCTAACTCTCTCTATTCCACTCGGCTAAATACATAGGGGTGGAGATTGATGCCAAAATGTTCTGGGTTATAAATATAGAAAAAACAATAAATAAAGCATATATGACCTACTACTCTTACAAAAGAATCATCAGCAAGAGTTGGGGCCTTAAACCTATCAAAATCATGTGGCTGTATTATACGGCTGTCATATCACCTATACTTACATATAGAGTTTTGGTATGGTGGCCAGCGCTAAAGAAACAATACAACATTAGGAAATTAAATGGAATACAAAAAGCAGCATGTGCAGGTGTTACTGGTGCAGTCAAGTTATATCCTACTAACGCGTTTAATGTGGTCCTTCATTAACTACCCACAGACATCTTTATTCACAAAATAGCAGCATTTTCTGCAATAACAATAAAAGAATTAGGTGGTTGGAATCAGCTAAGGGCATAGTGATATCCTAAACCAACTCAACGTTAGTAGATCAGTCTACATTCTCCCCATGCTAGATTTCAATTGATACTTCCAGGTGAGGATAACCTCTAGACGAGAATGGACATAATAGGGAAGATATGATCTCAGTTTATACCGAACGGGTCCAAATTGACTACGGAGTAGGCACGACGGTATTTTACGACGATCTAAATATTTCCCTCTCTATCGGTCTACCGAAATCGTCTAGCATCTACCAAGCAGAACTACTGGACATACCAAAGGCCTGTGAAGCTCTATTGGAAAACCTCGAAAGGATATATATAAAGCAGCAATATCTATAAATAGCTAGGCGGCGTTCCTGGTCCTTTCTTCACCCATGACAAACTCCAGCATAGTCCACAATTGCAGTACTGAGCTCGCTAAAAGACAGCTTCACATAAATTTGATGGCCATTCACAGTGGAGCCATCAACACCTTCACCGAATCTCTTCTCGTGAATGGCGGACTCGGAGTCATACCACCACCCATCACAGACCAAGAGCTTGAGTTGCCACGAGAAACGAGAGTGACGCTTGCGCAGCTTTGTTCTGGATACAGTTGTAGGTTAAACTCCTATTTATCCAGAATAAACCTCCAACATATTAAATGTATATAACTTTCGCGCTGTTGTTCGCTCGGCTATAACCGCTTAAAATAAAGAAGAAGTGGCAGAGTTCATGGTGAACTTAATATACCTTGTTCATGATATAAATATGGAGCTGGGTGTCCAAACAATGCCCTATTTTTCTCATAACGTTCAACAAATCGCTTGACTAAATCTCTCTGAAGCTTTCTGTAACCATAACACGATGGTTAGTAGCAGTATTATATTTGCTCAGACAGACATTGTCAGATATTTTAACCCTGAAAAAATACACACAATGAATGAAAGCAGGAAAACACGATGAATTTATATATTACAAATATTAACTACAAGATCTAAATAATATTAAGTGAATTATAATAACTAACAAGTTAATAAATGTTTTGAAGTGAATAGGAGTAACTCAGAAAATACGTAATTATTGTAGTGTAAGTGGTACAACTGAAGTCTGTGCGATCAATGTAAGTAGAGCTAATATTACTTAAGAAAATTGTGCTCAGTACCATTTTGAGTTTTTGTTGTTATTATTACTCTATTATTAATTTGGAGAGGTATTACTTTTTTTTGCTCCGCTTACGTTTCTTATCAGTAGCGTGGATACCCTTTTTACGGGTTATACAAACACGACAAAACCAGTCTTCATTGTCTTTCGGTGCAATAGTAATTCCCACGCATATCCTGAAATGTGTTTTTTAATCAGTATATTAATCAGTTGAACGCAAAAAACATACCAATGGTACCAAGCGTCACAACCATCACAGCCAATCATGGGAGAACCATCATCTACCTTTCCACATGCCGGACATATCCAGACACGATTGCCCTCAGCGTCCTTAAAGAAAAGACTATTGAACTAATTTATGTTGATTTTATTTTATTGAACTTACAATGTACGACGAAGGGCGGCTTGTTTCTGAAATTAAAGGAACAGGACTGTGACGAGCTGCAAAGTCCAAAGAACGAGAAGTGTTTATATTTGAATTGGGTAATAGTCCACCATCTACTTTACTGCTGAGCGATAAAGATTCCTGAGATTTCAAGGGTTGCAACAACTGCTGTGGAAGTAGAACAGAACTTGCTGATAATGTGCCACCTGATGACCATGGGTTTCGTGAGGGTTCACAGGAATGTACGCATGAATTTTTCGATGCACTTACAGTGTTAACTTTATTCTCATTTATCGAGTCGAAAACGGAGTTACCACTACCTCCACTCGCAGTTATTTGATTCGATGCAGATGTTAGAGTTTCAGCTGCTTTAACACAGAAATTAAAAAAGATAAACAAAATAAATGTAAATGCCTTTTACCCAAGTTAAATTTTTGCTTTTGTGGGCGTGTTACTAGTGGTGAAATTCTAGCTAGTTCCGGTGATGGTTCCCGCTTTCTTTCAAACTCATTCAAAGTTTTACTTGTACTAAAATATTTCTTATGTGATGTATCTTCATCCGGTGTAGGCGATTGTGAGTTACCAAGCTTAAGCGTCAATTTAGGTACAAACGATTGAGTTGAACTAGATAAATTTGTTGTAGCCGACAAATTTGTTGATGTACTGAACATTGAGAACATAGTTGCTGGTTTTCCAACACCGCTTATTCCTGGAGTATCAGTGGCATGTTTCTTGACAGTCTGCACCAATTCCTCCGTAAATAGCTGAACAACATTTTTCATAACACATCAGTAAAATATTGATTTGCATTTAACTTTAATTGCATTATAACTATTGCATAATGTTAATAACTTTCGCCTTTTAAGGCTATTTATAAAGTGTCATTTCCTGTAAGCTAATTATATATAATTATCCTAACACAAATGGATTTATAACGAGCTTTAGGCGCTTTACAAAGAAAATAGTGCAAAAAGTGGTTTATGTAACATGATGATCGCTATCAGAGTGATTGGTCAGGCAGATATTTTAAATAAACATAAAACGTTTTTTAGGAAATGTGCAATTGTTGTGTGTTCATAAGATGCTTCTACATACGATGTAGAATAAATAAAAATAATAATTATACAAAGTATTTGCATCGGACAATATAAATTAATATACATACCATGTATATAAAAAATCGACCATATCAGTGACCATAAACAAGCGGTAAGGTAATTGTAATGTGAAAAATAAATTATCTAACATCTTATGTAATATTTATAGGTTACAGTGAACAGAGAGTATTAAGACCAAATTAATAATTAAATTAAGTAGACAAATAATTTGTGACATGAAAATTCTTAGGTGTTCCTAATGAAGTTTGATACCCTGACGTCAAATCTGGAAACAGAATTTTTCTATCACCCACAGATATATATATATACCCTGTGGCTTTAAGTTTTACAATAAATAAAATCTCATATTTCAGCATGTTATATTTTCATACGATCAGGGATTTATTCGGTTTAGACCGGTTCTGTCTGGTTGTTTGAAGTAAAAATTATTTTAAAAAATTTATCAGTAGACTCACGGTTCCCGAATCATTTACGTGTTCTATGTTTGGATAACAAAACGCTTTTGAGTTCACATTCTTCTACGTTTTTCAAATTACTGTGATGATTTTTAGGTACAATGCCTAGGCAGTTCATAAACAGTGCCAACAGTTTTTGTTATGTGTTAAGCTTACGAACTGTATTTTGGTGTTAAAGTTGGGGAACAAGACAAAGCATGGACCCCTCATATCTGCTGTAAAACTTATGTAATATGGTTAGCAGATTTGTTCAAATCGTAAAATGCCCTTGTCAGTTCCAATGGTTTGTAGAGAACCTAGACATGTAATATGTTTTTTTTTTGCCTCACGAATATTAAAGCTATTGGACCGAAGTCTAAACATACGGTCAAGTGCTGCAATATACCATCAGCCGGTCGCAGTGAACAACTAAACCGACTAGCTCTTCAAGTAATGTTACAGAAACGGCAAGGGAAATGATAATCGATCCTTTATTTAGTTAGTTCGAGATCTAAGCCTCTCAAAATCACAGTCCGAACTTTCAGCATCCAGACTATAAGGTTGGAAAAAAGTGATGTAAATATTACTTCTTAAAAAAAAAAGGCAGAAAGACCTCACAAATTGCTTTCTTCAAGAAGGGGATCTAGTACACTGTTCAGAAGTCAACCTTTTGTTTAACGCACTAAGCCAAAAACATGATCTACGTGATTGGCGTATATTCATTGTTCCTCTAAGCTTAATTAAAAGGCGGTATTGGTTCATAACGGTAACAAATATCCATCTGTGCCCTTAGCTCATGCGGTTTATATGAAGGAATCATATGAGAATATGAGTTCTTTTAGAGCACATTCGTTATCTTGAGTGTGGTTGGGCAATGTGTGGAAAGTAATAGCCGTTTTTCTTGGAATGCAACTAGGATATTTGAAATATTGTTGCTTCCTTCACGAATGGGACAGTCATGCGAGAATTATGTACAGAAGCAGTGGTCAGTGCGTTGGGCACTCACTCAGAGACACAAAAAAACGTTACAAATGAACCTCCAGTGGATCCCAGAAAAGGTATTACTACCATCTTTGCATATTAAATTGGGTTTAATGAGAAAGTTTGTTAAGGCACTCGACAGAAATGGAAGAGGGTTCTTGTATTTTAAATTTCCAAGAGTCAGTGAAGCAAAAATTAAGGAGGGCATATTTGTGGCTCCGCAAATAAGAGAACTAATGGAAGATAAAACATTTGAGGAATTGCTCAATGAAACTGAAAAACGGGCCTGGAGTGCCTTTAAAAACGTTGCTAAAAATTTTCTTGACTGAACTATTTAATGCCTATAAAAAATGAGTTGCAACATGTAACTTAAAATTCACTTTCTGGACTCCCATCTGGATTTTTTTCCGAATATTTAGGGGCCACAAACATGGGGAACGGAAACAAAAAATAAGCGTCGAAAAACATCGACAGTACCAATCTTAGGTACTCTTGGGTTAATAAAGTAATATAACAATATCTATCGCTGCCTTTTTTAACAAAACTCCTCATAACGAAAAACACTATAGGTGTTAGAAGAAATCTGTAGTTATTTTCTGCAGTTAAGGTAATTTTTATATAATAAACACTTTGTTCTGTTCATGTCACAACAAACAAGATTATTTATTTTTATTATTGCTTTCAGAATTTTTTCGTACCAAATTGCGTAGTGAAAATCAATTTTGTATGTGTATTTCATATGCGATTATAAACTATAAAGTTATATAATTAAAAATTATTGTTTTAGAATTAATGTTTTATCAATTGTTAATTGTGATTATGGGATTACAAAGAAATTTTAAAATTACTATTATATTAAACATCAAGATATCAGTTTTTAATCCCAAATATCTTGTTACGGCTTTGGGAATATCTTAAATTAAAAACTAGATTTTCAGTTGTTAATTCCAACATCTTGGATTATCTTGGATTAAAAATTACATTTTCTTTTTCTAATTCCAATGTTAGGATAAAAAAAAATTAAAATCAAATTATTTATGTGAAATCTTATAATTAAAAATTGACTATACTGCTCTCTCCATATGCGTCACATCATTGAAAACAATAAACTGAAATTCCTAAATTTTAACTATTGACAGAAGGATTTACCTTGGTTTTTTTGGGATTTTATAATTCAGTCGAAATACTCTCTCTAATATGATAATATGACATACCTGCTTATTTTTTTTCTTTTTTTCCTTTTTTAACTTTTTCAATAAATCTTTATTCACTAGTTGCTGTTCTTCGTCACACCTTACAGAATCTTTTAGTTTCTCTTTATGACTCTTTTCAATTCTATTTACAACATTTTCGTGGTGATCTGTGCGTTCTTTACATTTTGACTTTTTATCCTTCTTCTTTTTGGTTTTGTCGTCTCTCAACTTTTTTACCTTTTTGTGATCTTTCTTCTTTCTCTGAAGTTCATTATTTATGCACAGAAATTCATTGTCTGTTATATTTGTTGATAATAATGAATTTTCAAACGCATTGGTTGAATAAATATCTTTTTTGGACAGTGTAAATGGAGCTGATACAGTTGCTGTTAAGCTAGTTGACGGTATAGTTTTTGCAGAATACGCCGAACCAGTTGAAATCAATGGTATCAAATCCGCACCTCCTGCCAATTTACCGACGCCATGTTTTTCGGAGCTAAATATATCTATTTGGGACAAATTTTCTGGTTCAATTGGGAGAAAGTTTTTAGTAGTTTTGAGAAGTTTATTGGCCTTTTGGAATATTTTTTGATCCTTTGAGCCCAAATAAAGATCACCTGATAATTTGTTTGTTATATCCTTTCGAATAGGTACATAATCCTCGATTTGAGAAAAATTTAGAGACTTTGTTGGTAATTGAAGTTGACTTTGATGCAAATCCTTAGAACTGGTCGAACTTAAAGAGTTCAACATGATTGTTGAGTATTCAATGGAATCATCAGATAATTCTATAGGGTCTTCGGTATTAGGAATAGACGTCGCTGCGGAAGATTTCGCTAAATCTATGCTAGACGATGCGTGTTTAGAATTTATACTACCGACGAATACTGGAGATTTAGTAGCACGATCATTTTGTAAATGAAGCTCGTATGTATTCAACGACATACCACCTGGCGTGGGTGGTACCGACTTGGAACCCGATTCAGGCGTACTCCAAAGCTCTGGAGTATTTAATATTTTTTCACTGACCGTAGTCGAGTGGTGAAGCTTGGGAGTTTTTGGACATTCTCGCTCTGCTTTTCTCATTTCAGACAAAACATCAGGTGAAGTAAGTTTCATTGATTCGGGAACGAATGGTGGGACATTACAATAGTTACGTTCTCCACTTGCTTGGAACAGAGTAGGTTCCAACGATGTGCCACTGATTGACGGCTCTAATATAAAACACAAATTTAAATAAAATTAAAATAATGGTAAAATTAAAGAGTTTATAATAGATTTAATTAGACAATTTATATCATAATTAATCATATTAGGGCTACCAAGTTTGAGGCTACAACAACGTAAGCATAAAAATGCTTTAATGTAGTTATGACTGTAGACTTACATCGTTCAGGTAAAAATTCGATTTAACTTAATTCTAAATATACTCACCAAAAGTCTTGCAGGTATGTTATTAATGACTCTTTAGTAGGGGAGCTCTATAAATTTCATTCACGGTTAAAATGAGATATTTCCTGTTTCGCAATAGTGGCATCTCAATATTATGTTTATTTAACATTATGTGTGTCTACATAACCACACAATAGCGATAAGGTTAAATAACCACCACGTTGTCTTGAGCAGCTATAACTTTAAATGTAGATGTATATACTGGGTGCAGCGTTTAAAAAGGTCATACAGTTTTAAAAACAAGCCTTTATTATCAAAATATGTTGGGAATAGTGTTTTAACTTCATCAACGGTGGAAATGGCTGCAAACTTATACTTGCGATAAATTTGGGACACCCTGTACATTAGGCAATAATCACAGGGGAATTATCGACGGTGAATTGTTATTATCTTATTCAATACATTTTGATTTTTTTTCACATTCAATGGCAGCAAGCCACTTATATACTTATGATTGAGAAATCGGTCTAAAAAGTGATGTTTGTCGCCCTCTGAAGTCAAAAGATTGCTTGGTCATATTACCATTAATAACTTCAAACGCCGCGTTTGTAAAGTAAACTATATACTCATATATTTAAAAACGTATGCGCAATTTTTAGTAAATTAAAACGGTAAGTAAAGGTGAAATTTTACCTTAGTCAATATTAACAAAAAAAAAAAAAAACTGATTTTGTGTGCACCTTCAAATTTTACCTTAGTCAATATTAACAAAAAAAAAACTGATTTTGTGTGCACCTTCAAAAGGACTTGATTTGGTCGGTCAGTTTGTGTGGCAGCTTTATACAGCTGCTAATCGAATTAAATAACTTTAAAATAGAAAACCATAATTAGTAATAAAAAATCACTCCTTATAATTGCATACAAATCTTCCCTTTTTAAAAAATGTGCTATTAGGGTGACCTAGCCATTTTAAAGGGATTTTTCAATTAATACTATTTATTCGTGAAATTCTATTTGCTATTTGTTGCATAAATGGAAAGTAGTCATATTTTAAGCTCTTTTTGCTTTTTTAAAGATATTTGTCAATTGTAGTAGATCTTAATGCTTCTTATGCTTAAATGTGCTATTTGCGTGACCATTGCTGTATAAAATCTACAATCGGTCCGATTTGAAGTTTCTTCGAAAATTATTCTGCGTCTTTGAACAATAACACATACCAAATCTCGGGAAGATATCTTGTCAAATAAGAAGGTTTCTTTATAAGGACGTGGTTTTGATCGTTCAGTTTACATATCAGACATATGCTATGATGGTCTAATGTCGGGGGTCCGATATTTAAGCGGGATATGGGGAAAAAGCACATGTTTAAAATTTTTCCGCACCTGCATACAAACGAACATGGTTACATCCACTCAGGTCATTACCCTTATTATTTATACATATGACTTCATAAGGTCTCCGGCTTCTTTCTGGATATTACAAACTTAATAAACCTTGTCCAGGGTATAACTAAATATATCTTGTAATATTCAACGAATTTAAAGAAGAAGTTATTTAACAACATTGCAGGTTGTTCGTTTAACGGTATACCATATAGCTCATAAAGCTGAGCAGACAATGGTTTTTTTTGTTTTCTAGATCTTTAAATGAAATAAAGATCACCTGTTGCATTTTGCGCTGTTTCATTGAAAACAGGGATAATGTCCTCCTTTTGAAAGAAATTCATTAGAGTCGCTGTTAAATCAAGCTGACTTTTATCCAATTCGCTCTGGTTGGGCGAACTTGAGTTATTGAGTAGCGATGATGGAAGTTCATTGCATTCATCAAAAAGTTCTAATATTTCATCCAAATTTAGTGTGGGTGTAGCTATAGAAAATTTTCCTAAACATTGCATTACATATTTTGGCGTTGCATTTGAAAATACATACCGTCGCTGAATATAGGATTTTCTGTAATTGACTTAAGAGGATCATTTTGCATTTGGAAGTCGTATGTGTTCCCCAACATACAGCTTGGCGATGTGGGTATTGAAATATTTTCGAGTGGAGCCCAGAGCTCAGGTGTTTTTATAAGTTTATCACAAAACGTAGACAAGTTATGAACCTGGAAATTTAAACATTCTGTTTCTGGGTTCTTCATCTCAGGTTTTGACAAAGTTGTTGTTTGTGTTATTGACTCGGGGACGAATTGAGCTACATCGCAAAAATTAAAATCATCATTCAGTAGGGGTAAGAGAGGGTCTAACGACGAATCATTGATTGTTGACTCTAAATAAAACGCAAATTTAAATTTTGATTAACAAATCGGCATATATCATATAACAATAAATGTGGCAAAACCGTGTGCGAAACTCTAAAAACTTTGACGTGCTCTTCTGAAATGTACGTATTTTGTGTTGTCATAAATTACAATATGTATGTGTACCACAGGCTATAGCCGAGACTGAACGATTTGGAAGCTATAGTCTTTTTGTAGGGTAGATCGCGACGGTTAGGTTGGAAGATGTGGCAACATTAACACTTCTTATGTAAGCGTTGAAGTATTGTTCTGCTTATAACGGGCATCTAAATATAGCTAAGGAGAAGGTGCAGTTCAAATGACAGGAAGCCCACGACGTATTCAAGGAATGTGCTCCTTATACACCTACAAAAATAGTTTTTTTTTACGGAAACTGAAGAAATTGCTGAGAAAAGCTGGTTGAGTTTCTTGATTGAAAGCGTACAGGCTTCGTTATTTAAGTGTTCGTTAATAGAAGTCAATATTATCTGGAAAGCACTGTTCTGAATAGGATTGCGCTTTTTATGTTCAACAATTTTAAATTAAAATTAAAATTTTAATTTTTAAATCCCGATTTTAGAATTAAAAGTTATATATAAAATATATAGAAGCATAACAGAGATAAATATTACATTTCTTTAAAATTATTTTGTAAATACACTAATGTATCCTAAAAATTCGAAGACATTTCATGTAATCGTTTTCTTAAAAAAAAATCCCAAAACTACCTTTTTTGCGTGACTGTAAGGAGCAACGAGACCAAATTTGGTAAAGTAATTCACTTTGAAATCTTCGTAAAAAATATACATATTTTCTTTAAAATATTCAATGTATTAAACTTCGAAATTTGCTAAACAGTATATGCAACTGCTAAATATTATAACAAATGTTGAGTATTCCATAACAAACACCACCACTACCTCTCAGTGTTGTTCTTATCAAGATTTGAATAGAATTTACTCAACATTTCGGGAAATCCAATATTTTCATATTTAGTATAAAATAGAAACTGTAAACATGGCAATATGTACTGTACTGTAGGAGACAATATGTACTGTTTCATATTGTTAGGCTGCAAAATGTTTAAGGTTTTTTTAAGCTACGTACATGTTAAAGTATCCGTTGTTGGACTCTAATCGCACTTACCTAAATTTGTCGGCTTCGCGGTGCTTTGTTGTCGCAAATTTGGAATAGGTAGATGAAATGTTGGTGGTAGGCGCGGAAATAACATACTCTGAGCAGTATGCGGTATGAGACCAGGCCCAGACGGAAACGGACAGAGTTTCAAGAGGTCAGGAATCCCGCCCAATACCGGTTTAGGCATAAACGACTGATGGGCATCATGCATTACACTTGGAATTGTATGTAATTGGAGCGGAATTTGTGGAGAAAGCCTCTTTCTGTTTGTAGGAGACTTATAAGGCAATGCCTTATGAGATAAAGTTTGTACAATATCCGAATTCGGATCAACCATAGCATCATTAAATGATCCTAATGGTTGTAAAATTGTGTCCATCCGCATAAGTTTTTTGTTTATAGTACTGACTTCTTCTTTAGTTGGAAAGACGGTTTCAGCGTTATATTCGTTTGGCTCGGTCATGGACATATTCACAATTAAATTTTTAGATTTGGTTTTCTTTCGTTCTTTCCGAATGTCCTTTATATTCAATGATAGATTAGAGGTAATGGCATCACCGCTACAATATAAAGTTGGAATCATATTATCGACGGGATTAGTTAGTTCCACTGAAATTTTTGTTTCTAAATGAGGAGGATATTGTTGATCGTATTTAGAAGTTTTAAACTTTTTCGTTTTCTTCCCATGTGAAAGATCATTTGAGCCAATAGGACTTACAATTGTTTGTTTTGGTAAGTTTTTGCTTCCTGGCTTACGACCACGTTTTTTAGGTTTAGTACCTTCGCCAATTTGTAATGGCAGTTGGTTTATTTGGTTTGGAATAACAACGTCTGTAATGTTGTTAGCAGAGATGTTCTCGACCAAACCAGCAGCACTTACCTCGCAATTAACCGACACCTTTGATTTTTTTTCTAATTGATCGGAAATGTGCACATTTGTGTCGCTTGCTATCATACATTTTAGATTGGTAGGCGTGGGTGTAATTGTGGTACCGCAAGGAAGGTTGATAAATTGACCATCATTTCCTCCAGACAATTGTGTCGAAGGCAGGCGACTGTTCGGCGATGCTGGTTTTTGTGACTTTTGTTTCGAAATTTTTTTAAAAATATTTAATTTATTTTTATCAAGCTCTGTCGATAATTTAACACCCGGCAAGATTTTTTTTTCAAGAAAAGTAGCATTTGGAGACAGCTTTACATTATCAACAGCATTTTCAGTGTTTTTAACGCAAAAATTATTATCGGTAGTGCTACATTGAGAGAAAGGAGGAGAAACATCCGATAAGCTGGCTTTCAGAATACACATTTTTTCCTTTGAAGCTTCAGGAAGAAAACTATCTTTAATAACTGAAATATCGCTTAAGGTTTTAGTACTCGATGGTTGTGGCACCAGTAGTTTATCTCCAAGAACTTTTGTTATCTCCAAATTTTTCAATACATCGCTCTGTTTTTGCTTACGCAGTATTTTTTTTTTATGTTTTGACTGTTTTTTTAGATACTTCTCGATTTTATGGCGCTGAAGAACAGAATTACTATAATCTGATGAAATTGGGGATGATTCGAGTCCTGGCTTTAACAAATTTTGCAAAATTTTTTTGGTCTTTTTATTAAGTCTTTCCGAATTTTCCACTCGAGGTGATATCAAGGAAGATTTAGTATTTTCGGCATTTGGTAGGTTAGTTTTTGCTATCAATGCACTTTGTAGATCAAGTGGACTTTTCTTTTTTGCTTTATTTAGCAACTTCGTAGCGATAGTTGGCACCTGCACATGGCGTGTTAACGGACTCCACCCTGCTTTCTTTATAACGCTTATATTAGTTATATCAGATACATTTTCGGTCGGAATCATATGCTTCGAAGATGTTGCCAGGAGCTGTCTTGCTACGCCATCAGCAAGTTCTGGTTTTTCTACATTTAGCAGCGGTTTTGATTGAAATGAACAGGTGGGAACAGCTTCGCTAACCCCTGCTTTTGGTGTGGTATTATTACTGTGGTGCTTGTGTTCTGCAATTCGAAGTTTTTCGGAACTTACAACTGCAGCAGGCGATACGGGCGGTGGTGCATCCAAGCCCATTAGCTTTTCTAGAAAAAAGAAAGAAATATAATGTATATTTGAGAAAATCTTATATATAAAAATGAAACGCCTTTTTCGTATGTCCGCGCATTATGCCCGAACCACAGCACGGGAAGACGTGAAAACGAGTATTCCTTTGGTCCGAGAGAAGGTCGTAACGGCGGTCTCCCCCTTGATTTCGCAATTAATGTGTATAATTATAACTTAAGAACGGCTAAACCGATTTGGCTGAAAATTAGTGACGAGGTAGCCTGGAATCTGGGGACGGGCATAGGTTACTTTCTATAGAATTAAGTTAGAAGCCAAAACAGTTCATAAAGAAAAAAATTTATATTTCAAAACATAAGTAATTGTTAAATAGTCATGTAAGAATCATTTACATATTTTAATACTTCAAAAAAAAAAAAAATTATAGCACTACATTAACATTAATTATAATATTACTACTGGCAGGGTACAGTGGTTTTGTTTACATACACAATATGTATATGAATAATAGTGATAGTGTAACTGAACAAGAACCTGAAGTATTGCACAACATAATGCAATATTTAAAAAGATCGATTAAGTTGGTGTTTGCGTCGATTTTGCAATAACTTTCGATGACTGTTGAACAAAACAATATCATATGATTAGATATAGGGCGTGAGGCGCACCCTTTTCTGCTCTACTCCTGCACTATTATTCACTATAACAAGAAACATAATTTTGTGTAACGGTATACAACGCAGACTGTGAAATCATACGTATTTATGCTATGCAAGGGTTCATTCAGTAGGCTTTTTCGTTAGGCGTTTACGCAAAAAGTGTTTAAAAAGATTAAAATAACTGTTTTATTGTAAACCCAAGGGAACAACATAAACAAATAAAGGTAAGATAGTCATTAAAAATAAAAATAAGTAATTGAAAAAGTGTTTAGTTTGTTTAAAATAATTTTGTATAAGTGCTGTTGCCTATAGCCAACATTCTGTAACTAACGAACCAGGACACTAAAAACTTTGAAATTTTTATCTCTTCATACTAGAGTTAAGATTAACATATATCTGTCCTAAAAATGTTTTAGCCCATTTTAATTCGGCAATGAAAGGGTTAAATGACTAACGATTAATTTAACTATTCCATTACAATGTTATCACAATAAATGATATCCTTGACAACAAGCTTAGACCAGTACTTAATAAACCTTACCGACAAATTTTGGAACTTTGATATCCGGAAGTTTTCCTTCAATTGCTGGGGATATAAAGCCGCCTGTTGTCATAACAACGCTACTTATTTCTCTAGTAGGACGTCCTTCTTCATCAAACATATGGGATGACGAACACAAAGTGACTTTTGCACCCTCTTGGGAAGGATCAAGGGAATCTTTTGAAACACTTAGCCTATTCGGAGTACTCATACAAGTTACTGTATTGGCAAATGTAGGCAAGTAACGTTCCGTTTTAGACTCGCACTGACAAATAATAATTTTATTACAACGTTTGTGCTTGTATGTATTTTAGTACTTACATCATTACTCACATTAAGCGAACTCGATTTAAAGAATAGTGAATCAGAGTGTAAGTAATGTGAAGGCAAGGTACTTTTTGAATCTGCTGGTAACATAGGTGGTAGATACTCATATATATGAACAGGCCGAATAAGAACTTCCTTACTTCCAGGCTTCAAAAAATTCAAGTTTGTATTTTTATGAGCCGGAAATTTTGGTAATTCCACAGCTAAGGGCACTGGCTCCACGTTGTTGGTATAATCCAACAGTTCGTTTATATTTATATTTAAATTTCTCAGAGTAACATAAATATCATCCAAGCATGCCTCTGTTCGATTATCTGTAGAAAGAAATACATATACATATTTATTTAATAATTTACAAAAAATTTTGATCTCTTATTAACAGTTTTACGGATCTGAATGCGTAAGAGAAACTTTAGTTTCAATAACCGCTTTTCATTATGGTTAGTACCTTTTAAATCAATGGCAGAACTAAAACAAACAATTATTGTAACTTTTATTATTTCCGTACTTCGTATTACATGTAAAAAGTGGTAATTACAGTCAAGAATGCAAACATAGCACGATTTGAGCATGTAATAAATTATTAGTATAAACATAAACAATTTGAATATACATTACCATAGCATTATTGAGTAATAAGTCAGTTATGTCCAAAAATATTGGAACAAAATTTGGTTTCCTGAAAGAAAACTGACAATCAAATCGTTGTGTACCACTCAGAATTTACTATTCTGCTATTTCTTTTCTTGACCTGGAGGACATCTTTTATCCGTACATACCCATTTAAACTCCGAAATCGTGAGATGCTATTCTAAATCTCAGGCGCTTCGGCTCATCTTGAAACACCTATACTGTCAACTGATCCTTACTTACGGCTGCATACGAGTATATTAACATTTCATATGTCACGATTTTTGGCGCTCTTTCGAAGCATCACTAATCGTATTATAATAACACTTCTCATCAATCAACACGAGCTTTTCTTCTAGCGATCGACAAATTGTGTGGGCTCCATCGTGAACAACGATCTGGCAATATTAGTTTCCGTATAAACAGCACCAATTGTTTCCGGAACTACAACCTTCTGAAATTCCTCTTGGATTGATCCTTGATTGAATTCATCACACCATCGATAAATACTGGTTTAGAGGTTTAAAAAATCGATTTTTTTGAAGGTTTTTTGGGAGGTTAATAATTAATTGATTAAATCGAAATTTCTAGGGTTAATAGTTATATATTTAAACGTCATCCGCAAATTTCTTTGATACGAAATTTTTTACATTTTGCCTTTGGGGAGCAATTGTCAGATGCTTCTCGCATGTGCATATGCCAGACGGCGGGCAGGATGCAGGTCGAGATTTCTAHCVGMAACAAAAAATTCAAAGRGATTMATATTATTTAATAACTTATGTTCAAATTAAACTGAAAATTTCAAAAAAAAAAAGGAAAATTATAAAAAATTTTAAAATTAAAAAAAAACTACTTTGGTCTAAAAAAATTTAAATATATGTTCAAACTTAACCTTTCTTAGTTTTTTTAGTTTCAATAGAAGATAATTTTATGAAAAAGATAATAAACTTTGACCCAATTTCATATGACGTTCAGTTTTTTTTTCTATCCTGCCCGCCAAATAAGAAAAATCGTAAAAATGAAGAACAAATTTAACACCCAAATGCGTCGAACGAATTAAAATGTGGGTTAACCGGCACACCTGTTATAATTTTAGTCGACACTGGGTCAACTAATAATTGTATTAGCAACAAATGTGAAATCGGTAAGTCAATACACATTATTCCTTTTAAAACAAAAACTGGCTTTTCAGTCAATATTAAAAAAAAAAAAAAAAATTTATTTGATTATAATTTAAAGTACAGGGTGGCTGATGAAAGCCACCACAAAAAAAAAAATTAAATAACCTTTTTTCTATTTAATGAATCTGGTTAATTTTTTTATACTTTGGAGACTGACTAACTGGGACACTGAAACAAGAATTTGGATTGTCCACCGGGTATTTAAATTCCATTATTTTTAAAACTAATTAAGCTATATTTAATAAAATTTAATGAGCTTTAACATGAATAAAGGAAAAATGAATGCCATACACAGAAAAAAAAATTATTTGAGTTTCTTAATGTAGCAAAATTCAGCAGCCACCCTGTACTAAAAGGAATGGACCTTAATGTAGAGCAAACAATTAATTTTACTATCAATAACCCTCAATACGAAGAAGACATTTGATACCTAATGCTAGAAAACGTTCAAATATATGAAACTCTTCTTTTCACTACAACTATTCAGGCGACAATTACGGCCCAGACAGAGGATCCAATATAGACAAAACAATATCCATATCCCATTGCGGATAACGACCATGTGAATAAAAGAAATTAGCGAGTTATTAAAAAATGGAATTATTAAATCAAGTAAAACCCCATATAAATATGAATTTGGCAACCCTGTGCTTTCGCACGTGTTTACAATTGTGCTGTGTAAATTATTATTAATTATTAAGTTAATTATTTAAACTAATTTTTTAAACAACCATTACCACTAAGGGACGACTATCCACGTTCCACGCATTCATAATTTACACAATAACATTAACAACACCACTAAAAATTGAGCCAACATGCCACCGAAAAGCCGACCGGAATAACACACTTGTGCAGCGTCTGTTCCACCAACGTTAAAGAGAACCAGGCAAGCATACTCTGTGCATCCTGCCGTACCTGGGTCCACCTTAAATGTCCACCTTCGAAGGTTAAACCTATGGGCTAAAAACAGTGAACTAGGAGTTAACTGGAACAAAAAAGAACTGATGCTATTCACAAGCAGAACCAAAGTGCCTCAGTCTCAACTTCCGATACTTAACGGTACCAAATGGAAAATAAATATAGAAAAAAGAATCAATAAAGCATACATGGCCTACTATACTTGTAAGAGAATCGTCAGCAAGAATTGGGGCCTCAAACCAAGTATAATCATGTGGATGTATACGGCTGTCGTAAGATCTATACTTACAACGGGAACTCTGGGATGGTGGCCAGCGCTAAACAAACAATACATTAAAAAATTAAATGGAATACAAAGAGCAGCATGTACGGGTGTTACTGGTGCAATCATGTCATGACCGACCGATGCGCTTAATGTGGTTCTGCATCAAGTACCCATGGACATTTTTATTCACAAAACAGCAGCTATTGCGGGGATAAGAATAAAAGAATTGCGTGGTTGGAATCAGCAGAACTACGGACATAGTGTAATCCTAAACAAGCTCCCCATTAATAAATGAGACTACATTCACCCTAAGCTGGATTTCAGTAGACACTGCCAGGTGAGGATACCATCTCAGTCTATACAGACGGGTCTAAAATGGATTGCGGAGTAGGCACGGGGGTATTCTCCGCTGATCTAGGCATGTATCTCTCTAGACGTCTACCGAAATTTTCCACTTTTTCTGCGAATGCCCAGCTCTAGCACAGATCCGAAACAAAACACTTCGAAGTCCATTTAGCACCGAGCCATGAATGGATTTCCACTAAAAGCATATCAGACCGACATAAGTAGTTTCATCGAAAAATCAAATTGGTATATTTAGAGAGAGAAGGTGAAACGTAATAGCAGATACAGGAGGTTGTACGAATAGTGTATCAAAATGGCACATCAAGTGCTAATTGAGCCCGATACATAACAGGGCTGCACTCCTACCTACATACTTACACAAACCATATATTCAATATCAGACAAGAATCCGAATACGAAATTAACAAGTAAGGAAGGGCTAAGTTCGGATGGCACCGAACATTTTATACTCTCGCATGATAAAGTGATAATCGAGATTTCAGGCGTGGTTGTGAACCCATATTTGGTACATGTCATCAGGGTGTTAAGAAAATATTATATACCGAATTTCATTGAAATCGGTCGAGTACTTCCTGAGATATGGTTTTTGATCCATAAGTGGGCGACGCCATGCCCATTTTCAATTTTTA